GCGGCGCTTACAGCTGCCTGGGGAACCGGGAGAAACCTTCAAGGAATAATAAAATGGCAACTGAAACACGGGTGCGAGTTTAAATTGGCTGAAAACAGGAAATCCCATTTGCTCGAGCACCCGAAGAAGAACGTGGCCTGGGCCGTCCTGCTTAGGGCGGGATTGCCCGCAAGGACAAGAAGGAACGTTGAGTCGGTGGCCTCGGACCCAGCACCCATCAGCTGAGCGCCCGCCGTGAGCCTGGGCTCAGCCTGGTGCTGGGCCCCGCCTGGCGCCATGGCAGCAAGGCCGGCGGCCCCGCCTTGGGCACGGCACGGGTGGCGAGCGGCGCGGGACGGGTTTCCAAAGCAGATTGTACCTGAGGGAGAGCCCGCGGGTACGAGCCTGAGGCCCTGTGCACACCCCGAGCCCCGCTGCCCTCTGCGGGACGTAGCGCGGGCACTAAACCCACCCCTGGGCCCGCGCCGTGGGACCCACCGCGGGCTGGGCTGGGTCCCCCCGTCGGGGCCTGGCACTCCTGCCTGAGGGCACATCCCCTCCTCTCTTCCCACCTATCATCCCTGCCGGGAGTAAAGAGATGGAATTTAATTTTCTTGTGAAGAAAAATGGGCCAGGCTTGGCTTCTTCTTTATGTTCCCCTTCCTCTCCCACTAGATCCACACGCACGACTAAATTTATGGCAGATGCAACCCTGCTTCTCATAAATGCAGATAACCCATGGGCAACTACTGCGCGGCAGGGAAGGGGTGAGAAAGCAGCAGGATGAGAAATCGTGAGCAGAATGAAATTCTGAGGGGGGTTATTTAACCATCTCAAGTAGGGGGGAAAAAAAAAAAAAGTGGCCATTTAGTTCAAACAGGTTCCACAGAATGGTGTTTTTTTTTTTTTTTTTTCCTTTTTCCCTGGGGAGAAAGAGGAAACCCTCTGCTATTTGCAATGAAATTATGGTGACTTACAGTAGGTAAAGATCAGGCTAAGAATAGTTATGGATCTTTCCGTACTTACACAAATTACAGCAGCAACCACAGCTCCGAAAAGGTGCACCTTATTTTTTAAGACATTATTTTCTGTTAATACCCGACTGTGTGAGCCAGATGAGTGGCTGAAGACCATGCAATTTCCCTAGTTTAATTCTCTACGGAGTGAAAATAAGTCTCTGTTAAAATTCAAAGGTTTCTACAGGAACATCATCCTGCATAAAGCTAAAAAACTGCTGAGTGCTGTGGGCAGAGCGAGTTGGACTATAAAACCCCAGCTCGCCCTGCCAGCCCAGCAGCGAGCAGCAGGCAGCGGGGCCCACGGCAGCCAAGGCCACACGCACATGGCTGCTGGGGCACAAGCATCCCCTACCAGCTCCAGGAGTCTCAGGAATCAGCAATTAGACATCTTTTACTGTCCACTTAATTGGTTACTAAATTTTTTTTTTTTTTTTTTTCATTTTGGCACTTAAGTATTGAGAGCAATTTTTTGGAAGATATCCCAGTGAATATGTTTATGGTATATTTTGCTCCTGACTGTACTGATTTGGAAAATTCTGGGTATTTTCCCCCCTCAAAATAGTCAAATATACCAACCAAAAGAAAATTGCCCAACATTATCCATTTATGTTGATAAAACTCGGGAAAACACGCTAAGCAAAAGAACTATTCATGAGCAAAAAAGCATTTCACTTCCATAAATATTTATAGGACGCTGTTCCGGGGGCCCTGGGCCCCCTTGAAGCTTTTCAGATCTTCGGGGGGTCGGGATGAGCCCGGGGCCGGGCACTGTCGGGGCGGGGGGGGATTT